AAGTAATTAAAATGATGAAAAGTAATTTTTTTAGAAGGATTCTTATTATATGAATATTTTTGAATATTTTGTATTTTCGAATTATTTTTGAAATTAACGATTTTTATGTTACTACTGTAACAATAGATTTTGATTATTATTCTAAATTATACAAGTCTATATCAAAAAGAACTAGTAAGGTAATAAAAGCAAAGGGTGATCATATAAATTATTAAATATAATTAGAAGTATATAATATAAAAAATTTTTGGTAGTTTGTTACTTATTACTTATCTTAATTAGAAATTCATTTTTTAATATTACCTTTCAGTTTGAATATAATAAATACAATGCTAAAAAAAATAAAAAACTTAATATATCACTAATTATAAGATAGATGCTGTTACTATATTATATGAGTTCTTGGAAAAGTTGGTGAGTGCTTGATAACATTATAATAAATTACTTGATAGGATAATTATAGTAAAGTTTATTAAAAATGATGGGTGGGAGAGTATATATAATCAAATCTATATAATACATCAAGCATTAAATTATGATTATAAATGAATTTAAAGGAAGATAACAGTGTGTTCATGACATGATCAGCTAGAATGAGATCTGTGATTTTTAATAATAGTGTTTAATTAAGGGATTTTATATAATAAATATGTAATTTCATTATAAAATCATAATTTAATAATAATAAAATATAATTTTATTATTAAATGAATTTATCATTAATTTATTACATGTTTTTAATTATTATTTATTATTCTTGAGATCTTGAGAACTATTAAACTTGAGAGCTAAGCTAAGCTAAGCTAAGATACAAGCTGTATTTATAAGTATTTGATAATTATAAAATGATCATTTGGAATGATCATTTGTAATGATCATTTAGAGCGCTTGAGATGATCAGTTGAAATGATCATTTGGAATGATCATTTGAAGTGATCACTATCTAAAAATAATTATCCAATAAAATATAAATATGAAATTAACCAATAGAATATAATAGAATATTATCCAATTAAATTTATGATATTAATTAACCAATAAAATAAGAATTAAATATTTATATTATAACACTATGATATAAATCATAATATTAATTCTAAAAAAATAAGAATGTTAAAAAATATTAATAAAAATTATAAACAAGATTTTATTTTTTCTCAAATTTTAAATTCAAAATTTTCTTCAAATAATATAATATCAGTATATTAAAATAATTATAAAATAAAATAAAAATATATTACTATATACTGTTATCATTTTTAGAGTCATTATCTATAATGATATTTCTAAAATATGGTGAATAACTGTATTTAATTGAAAGATTAGATTACTAAATTATCAAAACTTATAATTTAAATATCAAATAATAAAATAATAGGATTAAATATAATTTTAACAAGAAATTTAATAAAAATAAATATAATAACTATCAAAGCTTTTTCAAAATATCAGTTATATAAAAATGCAAATATAAATATAAATAAAAATAATATAAATATAAATAATATAAATATAAATACTATCTCTTTTAAGCTAATAATATGAAAATAAAAATAATATAATATCTTTTTGACATTTCTCAAAACTTAAAAACAATAATGCAAATAATAAATAATGCAAATAATAAATAAATAATACAAATAATAAATAAATAATACAAATAATAAATATAAATAAAATATAAATAATAGTTTTTTGTTAAGCTGACATAATTAAAAGATCAAAATAATATAAGTTACAATCAAATTTTATTTGATATTATTAAAGAATATTTTTGTAAATATAATTTGATAACTTGATGATTTAATAATGATTCTAAACTAAGATATATACTGCTTATATATTTATTCTTATCTCAAAGAAATTAATTAAAATCTAACACATTTTCATATATAACAAGTAATATATAATATTACTTTAATTTACCAAGTATTGCATATTTAAATCTAATGCTAACACATACTAAAATACTATTAGTACTTCTTTGTTATTATATAATAAAATTAATTAAATATGAAATAAACTTAATATAATACAAGATTATATTAATATAATACAAAGAAAAATTAAATACATGAAAAGAATCAATTAAAATATAGAAATAAAACATATATTAAATTTTAATAAAATGATTTATATTAAGTATGTATTATGATATAAATCTAATTTATAATAACAAATTAATTAAAATATCTTAATAAAAATTAATTAGATTTATAATAATTATTATTCTTTATCAAATACTATTATTATGTAAGAGAAATATTATTACTATAAATAAATATTGAGCTTCTCATAATAATAATATTATGCTCATCTAACTGATCTTTTATCCTAGCATATTAACAAATAGTTAAATAATATAATATATTACAATAGTAATAATACCTATTTAAAGACAAGATCTAAAAAAAAAAGTATTATTACAAGTTTATTTACTAATCATTAAATTAGCTTATAAACTTGAATCTGGATTGGAAGAGGATATAAATTAATAAAGAAAATATTAAGAGAAAAGAAAGATATCTAAAATCTATATCAATTTCTATGGAAATTGTATTTACTTTAAAAAGAAATAATAATATGAGAGAGTTGTGAAAAAGTAAAGATCAAAGAAAAAAGAGAGTATAAAAAAATAATAAAGGAAATTCAAAAAGATGATTCTGTACTTGTGTAAAACTTTCTGGAACTAAGGTAATATAATTAGTAATAACAATAACAAAAACTCTTTCATTTTGTTCTTCTTACAAGTAAAAAATATTTGTTAACAATTAAAAATTCAAATAACAAAAAGTAAAATACTTATAATTTAATTTTAATAATTTTAATACAGCAATTTGTTTAGTACAATATAATATAAAGCTTTAATAATTTAATAATAGTGATTTGTTCAGCACAATATGATCTAAGTCCAAAGTTAATAATAGCAATTTGCTCAATGCAATATGATATAAAGCCATCAGCAATTTGATAAATTCAATATGATATAAAATTACTTATATACAAGATTTAAAGTGTATAAAGAAAATATAAGAGGTAGGAAGTATTTGAAAGAAGATTTTTGTTAAGAAAGATTTTTATTTTTAGTTACAATATGTTGAGTTAAGGCTCAGACAGCATCTCTATTTATATATTTTTTGAAATTACAAAAAGTAAAATAAAAAACTATAAAAATATATGAAAAGTGAAATAACTTATATAAAAGTGAAAAGTGAAATATTGAAAAAGTGAAATAATAAAAGTGAAAAATAAAAAGTGAAATAATAAAAAGTGAAATAATATATATAAAAGTGAAAAATAAAGTAAAAAATCAAAAAAGTGAAATAATAATAAAAGTGAAAAAATGAAAAGTGAAATAATAAAAGTGAAATAATATATATAAAAGTGAAAAATAAAGTAAAAGTGAAAAATAAAGTAAAAGTGAAATAATAAAAAGTGAAATAATAAAAGTGAAATAATATTAGGGGATTTTACTTTATGTGAATATTTTTAGGATTTTCATGTTTTTTGATTATTTTTGAATTTGCGATTTTTATGTTACTACCGTAACAATATACAATGTTGGCATATGGCTCTGGTCAATAATATTTTTGGCTGTTTGGCCATTTAGCTATGGTCAAATAACTATAGAAATTCAAGGTAAAAATATATATTTACTATATTATATTACAATGAAATACATATTGAAAAAACTCCAGGACCTTGAGGATATGAATTGAACCGTTTTAAATAATTCTTCAGGTGAACGATCGTCATCGAGAAAAAGATTCACTCGATGCCATCGATTTACTATTTTTAAAGAAAAAAATCAATAGTAATAATCTGTAAGTGTCTTTATTTAAAAAAACAAAAGCAAAATCAATAAATATTATTAATTTAGTTTATCTAGAGAAATTAATACATACATACTGACAGAACGAAAAGTTATATTGCTGCCGAAAATACCCTCCGTCACAATTCCACCTGCACAGGTCACGAAAATTAGTAACTTCATCCACTCTAATAAATGTTGGAATCTGTACAAGCTATTGATGTCGCTCGTAACTTGATGATTTGTGTTTGGCGTCTTTTATAAAGACAGAATCATAGAGTGATTTCCGAAATATCTTGCATTTTTATTCAGCCTTTTTTTCAACAATTAGAAATCATAAAAAATAATATTTATAATCCTTATGCAAAAAACTACTTGTTTCATAAATAGGACCTGCTGAATTTACAATCAAAGTCCTTTACATCAGCTTATACCGTATTGAAATCCCGATTTTTGACTATTTATATACCGACACAAAAGTGCCAATCCAATGCGGCCGTTGTAAAGGACTTTGACTGTACATATCGATGATGATCAGGACTTCGGTCCGTTTATTTTGAAACTCAGTTCTATTGAGATGTCACATAATCTTGGTCCTCTACCAAAATTTTTATTCAAATTTCTAGTTCTGATTGCAACAAAGAAGGTTCCACCAGATTACTTTGAATTTGATGAATCTCGTCCTTGGTGAATCCCAATTCATTAATAAAATATGATTCAATATTGCCGTATTTCTCTGAAAACTTGTTTAGAGTCAATATCATTGATTCGTATCTGTAAAAATAGGAATTTAGATTTTTTTTCAAACTAATGTCAACCATAAAAATATATTTAATACACACTGTGCACTAAGCGCGCGTCCACATTCTTCTATTGTAAATGCTGAACTTAATTTATCAGAGATGATTTGTAATTCATTTTCGTCATAACCTGAATTGAAATATTTTAATAAAGATTAATATATAACGATAATCGATAAAAAATTTCTGACCTTGCGTCTGCATTGTTAACTCATACTCTCGTGCAATTAACTCATCATCAACCCCCGCCAACTTCAAAAGTAACATCGCAAAAACGCCAGTACGATCTTTTCCTGCTCGACAATGAACGAGGAACGGTGAATTCGGATGATAAAGTATATGTTCAAATATTGTGCGAAATGTTTTTTTGCCAGATTCTAAAATCGTAATGTATACTTACAATAGATAGGAAAAATTATTGTTATGCAAAAATAAAGAATGGATGAAACAGCTTTATCTATGAATTTAGTTACTTTGTGCAAAACCTACAGGCCCAGTGATGAAAGGTGCAAAGCCTTTTATTTTCTCTTCACGCGAAATAGATGACTCAGGAAAAACTGGAGTATGAATACGTTGAGCATTAGCTATATTTCTAAATAAAAACATAAATTAAAATCTTTATAACCATTAATATCTTCGATAAAATTAGGACATACTCTGGAACTGCTTTAAAACGTTTTGAATTCGATCGCAAATCAAATATTTTCTGAATATTTAGCCGTTTTAATGCCTCGATGCCTTTATCTGTAATCATGGAAAGCCTAAAAAAAGATTGCGTCAATTCATTAAACAAAAGAATAATCAAACAATCAAGCCAAAATTACGTGTTCACTTACTCTGCAGAGCGAAAAACGAAACGAGAACGAACGTAATAACTCAGATTGTCATTATTGTTAACGGTACACTTCCATCCACCCACGTCACGAAAATTCTTCACGCCGCCAATTTTAATAATTCGAGGAACATTATTAATTACCCGATTTCTGTTTAGAAAACGCGTTGATTGAAATTCCGGCGAATAGTATTCTAAAATCAGATTGACAAGTTCATCCTTGTGATTAGTGTATTGATGGTTTGCACCAATAATCAATTTCAGTGTGTGGTTCGATATCGAGTTGGCGAATGAGGCTGCATCTGTCACGTAAATTGTCTACGGATTTGTTACGTTTTAGTATATTCAATATCTTTGAATATTAATTAAATAAAACTATTTTTACTTCATCGTTTGTACCATGGATAGTTAAGACGGACGTCGACTCCGGAATATTTTTAACTAGATAAATGCCTGGTTAATAGAAAATCCATCATCTTTAATCGAGAAAAATACAACTTACCTAAATGCATAGGAGTCGTCAGCCACTCCGAAAAATCATCCTTTGTAATTTTCCATTTTATAACTTGTCCTAGTGACATTGTTTCCCAATAGAAATAGCCTCGAGTCTCCAAATCTTGCATTGCGTCACTTCCGTGTCTTTGTCGTGCTGCTTCCATATAATATCGCGCAGATATATTTATTACATGAGGTACGTTGTGATTACGTGTTGCTGCGTACAACAAAGCTATCATGGCCCCTTGATTTTTTTTTATAACGGAGATATAAGCGTATACGTAGTTAACTTGTACATGTATCATTTTTTGAACATTTACCTTTAGAATGGCCAATGAGGGCATAGAGACTATACCCATATTCTTTTTGTAAGAAGTCAAGCACAGTTTCAAGATCATCTAAATCATCCTAAAAGCTTATTTAAAAATCATTATATTCTTATGTAAGTTCAATGTTAATTAAAAATAAAATTCGTACCTTAATGCTTGCATATTTTCGTTCGCCATCACTTTCTCCATTTCCCCGAAAATCAAAACGAAAAGTATCAAATGGCAACACCGATGCCAACTTTTTTTGAAACAAGTAATCTTTATGGCCTTTTATACAAAATACGTAGAAGTTACAAATTTTTATTTCTAGCTAATAATCTTAGTTTATGTTTACCAAGCGTTCCATGTAGAATTAAACCAAGCTTTGTGCCATCGGATATTTTTATATTTGGTGATGCCTCTACTTTATTACTTAGTTCAAGAATGCCAACAATCGTTTGATCCTGATTGTTCTTAATGTAAAGTTTGTTGCTTGATGTCGTGGTCATGTTAACGCTAAGGTTTTTTTTATCGTTATATACATGTACGGTTCGTACGAACTGTATTCTGATTAAATGGATAAATGGGGTAATTTTGGTAACCTTGACATTTTTATGTTCATCATTTCAGAGTTTCGGAATTCCAAATTGATAATGATAGCGATAGACGGAATGATTTACATGATAACGATAATTTTGTTAATCTTATCGTTATCGTTATATAACGATAACGATAATACATGTACGTTTTGATCAACCAAAAATTAATGTGGAGGATCATGGTGAAAATCACATGCCTTTAATACAAATTCTCAATTTGTAATGATGTACATGTAATTTTTTCACTATATGATCGACAACAAGCATAAAACATTTTGCATTACTAGAATTTTTCTGTGTTAACGCACGAAAATGATTAATGTTAAGTTGAATACATGTAATAACGATAATATAAACAAGAGAAACAAGTACATGTGCGAAGATTGTAACAAATGAATTACGTATTTTGTATGATACCTATAACGGAATACAACCAATGATAAATGTTGGGATCCTATTCCAGAAAACAGACCAACTGTCGAGGAACTTGATGTCGTTATTAGATTTATCTACGATATCTTCAATAAATACTTTTACTTTGCATTCTCAGTACTATGACTCTTTAAAATCTAAGACACACGAAAAAAGTGAAGAGTATATTAAATTAGAAAAGCAGAAATTAGAGAAGATGAAATGCGTTTCTACGAATATGAGCAAAAAAACAAGAAATTCATTCCAATGCAGTTTACACTAAATTGATTTCGATTCCAACTGATACAGTATTTTCTATTTTGAAATATAAGTCATATTAGCATTAAAATTTATATCGAATGTCGTTTGCTCCAATATTATCATTATTTTTTTTTAGTTTACTAATTCAATGTCTTTTTTCTTTGGTGAAATTAAATACATTTAGAATGAGTGCATAATATACAAGAAAAACTGCAACCATGAAGAAGTATCTTTACGAAATACTTCCAACAAAATAGGACTCTGTTAAAAAAGAAAATGGTAACTACCACTACTTTATACTTTAATTAAAATTTTTATTCTCGTTGATTTAATTAAGATTCTAAAACATGGAATCGATATTAACTGTGTTTTGAGTTAAAGCATAACGACCAAAAGCAGTTTCTAACTTCTTTCTAAAATTTACTTCATTTATGCGTATATAGCGTTAGTGTATACAGAATCGTATCAAATATTCGTTCTTAAATACGACATATTCTATGTCGTCTTTCATTTTCATGTATATTTCAAAGTTTTACCCAAAATTTGAGAATAATAATTATCAGACACATTACCGTTACTTTTTGTGTAAATAATAAACTCTTCTTTTCAATACATCATAGAAGTCATAAAAGATGTTCTGTTTCACTTTTCATACATTCACTCTTTTTTTCACACACACAAACACACAAATGGAAGTCTTCTTTTCTGTGAATATATGCTAATCATATAGTTATTCTAAAATAAATTTGTACAATGACATTTAAAAAAATTATTTTCATTGATAGTCTCTTAGCTACCGCTACTACCAATTACCATATTTCGCAAAGTGAAGTATTCCCTTGTAATATCAATCTACTCCCCCATCATTTGTACATATATCTGGTATAAATTAAAGAAATAAATTTGTGTGATTTATAAATGATATTAAAAATCTCCTGTATACCCGGATATAATAGAAAATTTCAATATAAAATTTATCAATGCAAAAATAAACAATTTATCGTTATTTTACGTACTCTGTATAATATTCTAATATCGATATACATGTACCCTTATAATATATCATACTTCATACAACAATTGGTCCGTTTTTCTGAAATACACGAGTATTCCTATAAATGATTGGAAACCTGTTTGTAAACCGGGGTTTTAACCAATTAAATTTATTTACATAAACATCCCAACTTGTATTCTAATAGAATTTTGGTTGTGTGTGGGTAAATGACATGACAAATCATTTACCAATACGAACATGTACGACTATCGATATCACATCACTATGTCACACAATTTTGAAATGTACATGTATGATATACATGTATTCCATTAAATCAGTTAACAAGTCCAAAACCACAAAAAAAGTCACGATGTACAAATCCCTTTTCGTGAATTTTTGATAATACCGATACTAAATAATTTTCTTCTCAATTCAATTCTTCGTGGTTGAAATTGATACGTACAGTTAGAGATGGGCCGATACGCATAGTTACTAACCGATATCATAAATGCCCATACACAATTATACAGATCATCACCAATTAAGGTATTTGTAC